GTAGGGCATGTGTTGCTTGGCTCTGTGTTGGATGTGTGGGCTGCCTTGTGCTGTATGCGTTCCACCGTTGTCTTGTTGCCCATCCCTCTTGCTTTGCGTGTGTCTAATTTGTGCCTTACAGTCGTCTTTGGTGTTGCGCAGTGCACTGGCGTTGAGTGTGTTGTCGGTGCTTCACAATGGCGTAACTCGCTGCTGCCGTGTTTCGTTTGTGGGCAACCTGCCTTCAACAAGGGTCAAAGGTTTCATGACCTAACGCATTCAAAACTGGGGATGCCGCAGATTGTCGAGGGTTCAGCCTCCTGATGAGTTGGTGCAATTCCGACGAAACAATCATCATCAACTTCTCTTTTTTTCGGTTAATGTTTTAAGATTGGTCTGCCAGTTTGGTCTCTTTACGTGTTGTCGAACCGCAGTCTCATCAGCTAAAGGCAAATGAGCCTATGCACAAGTATGCCCTGGCCTGCTTGGCCTCGGTATCCGTTTTTGTTTTTTTCAAGGTTTTCTGTTTGATGTGCTTGTGTGAGGTTGCTCCAGCCTCCTGGTGAGGCGGTGTGCAAGGTGTTTCTGCCTTCCTGGCCCTGGCATCCATGTTGGTCATGTTTTTTGGTTTGCCTATTTTGTTTACTGTGTGGTCTTCCTGTTACCTTGTTTGTGTGTGGTCTGCCCCCAGTCTCATCGAGAAAAGTCTGATGAGTCGGAGCGGAGGATGCTCGGCCCCATGCCCGTGGCATCCTGTTTGGATGTGTTATTTTGGTGTGTTTGTTTGGCCTGCTGGGGTGTGGTCTTCTTGTTAGTATGCTTGCGGGCTGTCTGCTCGCAGTCTCACCAGCGAGAGGGTAATGGGTCGGTGCGCAATTCTCCCCCGACCCTCTAGGCCTTGGCACCCCCTTTTTTCTTTTTTCCTTTTTAGTTAGGCTGGTTGTTTTGCTGGCAAGTGGTTTGTCTGCTCGCCCTACCCGCCTTGCCTGAAAGTACTCGAAAACATGAGTAGATGTCGTTCTCGCCTCAGCAGATGGAATCTACCGTACTCGCAACATTTACCTAGGCTAGAGGTGTGCCCCTGATTCGTCACGGGAGATCATACCTGGTATAGTGAATCTTGCCATGGCGTGCATATGTGCACACACTCAAAACATTCACACACATACACATTGTGAGGACGATTAGACGTCATAAAGGTGGTCATGCTCCAATCACATTCGCCACCGCAAAAGTGTTGGGTCTCTCTCTCTCTCTCTCTCTCTCTCTCTCT